TGGGGAGGGGCAAGGAAATGGGGAGGGACAGGAAGGGAAGGGACAGGAAGGGAAGGGGGGAGGGAAAAGGAAGGGGGTACATAGAAATGGGGAGGGACAGGAAGGGTGGAGGGAAAGGGAAGGGGGGGAGGGAAAACCAAGGGGAGCAGGGAAAGGAAGAGGGAGGGACAGGGAAGTGGGATGTCGTCGTCATCCGTTGACGTGGTGGTGGTCCGTTGACGTAGTGGTGCATGTTGTCGTGGGCGTGTCGTCTGTCAGTGTGGCCCTCCGTTGACGTGTTGTTGTCCGTGGGCGTGGTTGTGTCGTCGTGCGTTGACGTGGTCTTGCGTTGACGTGGTCGTGCACTCGTCCATTGTCCCTCGTCGTGTGCCTGGTTTTAGCAAGCTGGGTTGCGACGAGCTTGGGACAGGGGGTGCTCACCTATGACGACGAACAACAAGTCGTCGTTCGTCGTCTCGTTGCCACGTCGCTGATAGCGACGTGGCAACATGTTGCCCCGCTTGTTTACCAGCTGGGGCTGGTGACGGCGTCGTTTCCCGCGTCGTGGCCATGGTGGTGTATTGTAGTGTGGGGGTCGTGGTGGAACGACGACCAATGTCGTCGTTTGGTCGTCGTTCTCGTCGTCACGTCGCAACGTGTTGTCGTGGGCATTCGTTTACTGGTGACGTGGCATTGAGGCGTCGTCCTTGCTGAGGTTGGGGTGTGGCGCGCTCGTTGTGGATGGGTGGCTGGTGTGCGTGGTGGTGGCCGTTGGTGACGTGGTGTCGCAAGGTGGGTGGGCGTCGTGGACGATGGTGGTGGTTGAGAGAGAGCAGTGGTTGTTTGTTGATGACGCCCAAATCGAGTGTCGGCAAACGCCGGCACTCGATTTGGGCATCAGGAATTCCGTTCTGTGTCGTTCCGGCACCATTCCTTCCGGGTGATTCCTGGAACCATTCTGACGGAATTTGAATTCCATCAAAATTCTGCCGGAATGGTTTGATCAATTTGGCAGGGCCCTCTGCCAAATTTGATTCCTCCGGAATTCCAGGAATGGCCCGGATTCCGCCGGATTCCAGCAGGAATCAGTGGAGGACAATAAAGACCTCAATTTAAATGGAGTTCTGCTACTTATTAGCACAGAGGATTGAACTGGTTCTGTGATCTTGATCTGAGGAGTGAATTGTACTGCCTTCAATCCTTTCCAAGACGTGCCGGTACGCACGCACGCTATGCTGGGACTTCCATATCGCATATATTCTGACGCCTGCGATTTTGCGTTAGCTGCTATCCTACAGCAAGTTCAGTCTATCAAAGTCAAGGAATTAAAAGGAACCAAGACCTACGAGATGTTGGAATGTGCGTTCAAGAATGGAGAACCCATCCCTGATCTAGTAGCTCATTTAGTCAAGGAAGATTCAGACATTCCTCCTTGAGGAAAGTGGGGAGAAATCTTCAAGGAGACCACAGTCCACATTGAACGGGTCATTGGCTATTGGTCTAGGGTCCTACAATCTGCTGAACGAAACTATTCACCTACGGAGAGAGAGGCATTAGCATTGAAAGAGGGCCTCATCAAATTTCAGCTGTATTTGGAAGGAGAAAGAATATTCGCAGTAACTGATTATGCTGCACTAACCTGGAGTAAGACATTCCAAAACATTAACCAACGACTGTTAACATGGAGACTGGTGTTCTCGGCATTCCCTAACATGAAGATAGTGCACTGAGTGGGAAGAGTGCACTCAAATGTAGACCCTGTCTCTCGATTGCGACAGTGTATTCTGCCACAAGACGGTCCGTTAGACAATGAGTTCAATCTGCTAACATTAAAACCAACCAAAGATCCACTGCGTGACATGTTCAATGAGCTAGGGCCGAAATTTGAAGAAAGGTTACTGACAGTAGCAACAAGATTCATCGAGACAGAACTCCAATACAAGAGCGATAGTATGTCTACCAATGTAGCGTTAACTCTGGCAAATAGTGACAAAGTTAACATACCATATTTTACCTCGCGGTCGTACTCCACCATCATGCAGATAGATAAGACAGAGTCTCAGGAATGGAAGGATGCCTACATCCGAGATGCGCACTTCAACTTAGTTCTAGAAAGTATAAATAGTGTTTGCAGGTCCAGTCTACAGGACTGAAAATATACATAAGACTGAACTGGACTGAACCATGGTTCGGTCTTTTTCCAGTTGCAGTTGCCCACATTTGTGGTCAGTCCAGTTGCCAGTTGCCATGTTTTTGTAAATATATAAAAACTGAAAAAGACCGGTTTAGACCACTTTCAACTGGTCTTTCGTCCCATCACGTGCTGAACCTTACTCGTGCACATTTTACTTAATTTTCGGTCCCTGAATCATCAAAAACGGTCAAGAATTGGTTGAGATATGGCCAAAAACATTTTTATACATGTGATTCAAATGTACGTCCTTTCTGTTTTCGCCCTACCTCAGTCAAATCTTGACGGAATTGCTTAGATTTTTGATCAGTCTACGGAGAATTAAAATATCTATCTACGTATGCAATGTACGTGAGGTAATATTTAGTTTCTGTGGTGTAATAAATTTTACAACAAAAGACCGGTTGCAACTGGTCTGGACCGGTCTTTTTCGCGTTGTGGACCGATTAGGACCGGTCCAAAGCGGTCCGGTTGCTGTCCCTCAATATTCGGATCGGTCTAGACCGGTTGCGGTTGCCAGTTGCGTCGTTTTGAGGTAAAAAACTGGACTTAACTGGACCTGCGAACACTAAGTATAAAGAAAGACGAAGGGATGAACCTCACCTTTCCTCAATACCACATTTCGGACTCGATAGGAAATACGCGACTTTGCATACCTAAGGACCTTCGCGTTGAAGTGAT